GAGACTGGGTCTCATGAAGTTGCTAGGGCTAGCCTGGAACTCACTCTGTAATCCAAGCAGGCCGTAAACGTGTGATCCTTTTGGCTGAGCCTCCCCAGGTAGCCAGGATTACAGGCCTGATCAAGAGACTCAGCAGCAAATTCTTGTCTGACTTTAAGTGTGATCCTTCTGTTCTCTGGGGGCATATACCTAGGAATGACTGGAGTATGGACTAATACTACATTTAATGTTTTGAAACCCACTAAACCTTTCCACAGCAGCATATATGTTTCATATTCCTACTACATTGCTTGGCTGGAATTCTGGTCTTGTCACGTAGTTCCGCTGTTTGAACTTGGACAAGTCCCTTCTGCCTTCTGCGATCACAGATGTATCCCAGGGACTGTGATGTTATCTGCTCAGTGAAGATGGCAGTCGGAGTGAATTTATGTGTCCAGTGGAAGACTGGAAGCACTAGGTAGGCTACAGGGCTGCCACGTAGGGTATAATACAATAAAGAGCCCTGGGCCGAACCCTTGGGCTCCTCACCAAGGCCATCCCTCCCTTCACGGAGTCCTATTTCTTACATGTTTGGTAGTTGGCCGCAGCTCTGCGAGCCTTTGGTTTGCCCTGCAAATCTCAGGGACTGAACAGACCTGGGTCTCCTTCTTATGACTGGTCTCAATTCGTGAGTTGGGCTATGGTGGAAAAGTAACGGGGTTGAAGGAAGACCAGTTCTCCCTCGCCTAAAACAGGCTGCTGAGGCTAACGAGGACGGGGACATGCCAGCCAGCCTTGAATATGAGCGCCTTGGAGGTGACTCCTTCCTGCTGCTCTTTGCAGAGGGGGGCTCTGTGCCTGGCTTGGAATGGCAGAGGGTCCTAGGAGCTCACCCTTCCCAAGTGTGGCTCAAGGTGAGGGGGGGAAAGAAGCAAAGTGGAGAAGCTAGGTGGGGAAGGAGTGGAAGGAGAGCTGGAAGAAGAGACAAGGAGATATCAGAGGCTGGACTGAGATGGACACTTCTCTTCCCAAGCATATTCTGTCTACTTCCAGGTCTGACCTAAAATCAGCAGGTGGGAGACAAGGGAGAGAGCACTCTTATGAGAACGATCCCGGAACATCATGGAGGCCTTGGAAGCAGAGGCTCTAGGCTCTGGTGGCCACACAGGGGAATTATTTTGTCTTCCCGTAAAGGGGTTCCCCAAGATGCCAGCCCACCTGAAACTCATTTGTCCCCGGTTCTGGCATGACTGAAAGCCTAGCCCTTACTCACCTACTGGAGGTACTGTGGCCTCTCGTGGTCAGGCCCACAGATGAGTGACATCATTCGGAGGGGCGCCCCCTGGGGGCCACTTTCTTTTCTGGGGCTTCGCCTGAGAACCCAAGGTTGGCTCTGCTACTACTGGGGTTGGAAAACAGGAGTTGTCACGGCTTCTCATTATGCAGAAGAGAAATTAAAGTTCTCAGAGTGGGTTGTTCAGACCCCTCCCATCCACACAACCAGTGAGAGCCACCGCAGGAGAGGGTCAGTGACACAAGTTGTAACCTTTTAGTCTTCCCGATGAGACCACCATACCAGTGTGGCATTGCACTGCCTACAAGCAGGACTGCTGCTGCCACGCCACTTGAGCAGAGCGATCCACAAAAGCAGGTCAGCACTGCTGTGTAAAGTAGAGGTCAGCCCAGCATGTGTGAGTGCCCGGTGTGCATGGAATGATGTAAGCTTCCCAGGCCCACGGGGGTGCTGGGGATGACACTTCCCAGCCTTGTCTCTGGCACTGTTTGCTGCAGTGTGGTCTACGAACATAGTTCTTTTCCATACCATGGCAAGGTGGGGGCCACTAGCATTGACTCCCAATACTTACACTGTCAGAAATGCCTGGGGAGTCAGAAAGAGCTCAGAACTCCAGGTCCTGTGTCCTGCAATCAAACTCTCTATTTAGCCCAGGACATCAAAACTATGGGGAGCACCTACCTTGGAGACTGTGGTGCATCCAACATGAAGGAACCAGCTTCTCCATTATTCAAGCTACTGGTTTCCTAACCATCACCCTCCTACACACTGAAACGATGTGGTCCTGAGTGGCAAGTGGTATTTGTGTGGTGACACATGACAGATACTGGATCCTGACCCACTAGGTCTGCTCTTAGCAGGTGATACCATCCCATTGTGATATGGCAGCTGTTTTACAAGAATAAGCCCTCCTGCTTCCAATCCATGTGCAGACATGTTTGTCACTCACCTCCTTGCACTCTCTCCTCCACTCCAGGACACACAGGACCAGCCACTGCTACCGCATCACCTACCGCCACATGGAGCGGACACTGTCCCAGAGAGAAGTCAGTAGTGTCCACCAGGCTGTGCAGGAGGCCGCCGTGCAGCTGCTGGGTGTGGAGGGCCGTTTTTGATGCCCTGCTTTTACCCAGGCTGCAGCCCTCATGGAGCTCCAAGACTCACTGGAAAAGGGGAAACACGTTGCTTGTGAACTGGAGTATCTGTCATCTTTTGATAAATGGGTCTGCTTTAGGACTTTCAGGAAATAAAGGATCACTTTTGAGAAGCATTGACATAGCATTTGTCTTTTATTTGGGGGAAGGAGAAAGCAGGCACTGGGATAAGAGTTCCCTGTTATCCATTTAGAAATGCTTGGCCCATTGGCTCTCGGCGTGGTTAATTGGTCCCTGGGTTCCATTAAGCACCAGGCATGATTCTCGCCTGACAGGCTCTTCCACCCATGTAATGAGTGAAGCCACAGAGAAGGGCCTCAGAAACTAGATATTGTACAGGCATGCCTAGTTTTTGTGTGCTTGCTTGGCTGCAGGTCACAGATCCGGCATTTTGACAAATTGGAGGTTCATGGCAACCTGTGTTGAGCAAGCCTGTCATCCTCCATTTTCCTTCAACTCGAATGATCATTAGTCTTTCTTGGCACTGTTCTTATTTAATTGGGTAAATATATGGGCTTTTTGAACATAAATCTATTGTGCACCTCACAGAGACAGTTATCAGGTAAGCTTGTACTTCCATATGCACTGGGAAACCAAAAGATGCCTGTGACTTGCTACGTGATGAACTTACTTTATCAGTGGTCTGGAACCAGATCATAACCCCCAACTAAACCTGTCCAGGAAGCCTTTGAATGTCTGCCATCCTTTCTCTCTTCTCTTCTTTGTTTTGCAAAGGGCAGGCTTCAAAGAGGCCACTGATGAAATGCCAGGGCTTCCCCTGAAAGTGGAGAGAATCACATCTCTGAGCCAGGCAAGGTAGCTGTTTGCTTTCATAAACACAAGGCCAGGGGCCAGCCCATTGGCCCTGAGCTTGGACTTCCCCGCATTCTGCCCTCATGCAAAGGAAGAAAAGGAGCAAAAACTGCCCTGGGTCCAGGAGACACACAGGGCCACCTCCTCAGGTTGTTCCCTGCAGGAGGCCTCCAATTCCAGAAGGAAGGCGACCTTTAAGGAAGAGCACAGGGCTTTGATGTCTTCCCCTTTCCGTCCTGCACTTTGTAGTCTGCCTGCTTCACTCATGACCAGCCTTAATAATCAGATTTCAGGCCTGACAAGATGCTGGAGGCTGATGGAAGACTCTGAGTGCTGGGATAAATATTTGATGAGAGGTGGCCATAATCAGCAAGCATTATCAGCTGCTCAGAGTGTGACTGTGTTTGGAAACAGGCTTATTGCAGATAGAAGTAGCTAAAAACATCTTACTGGGTAAATGAACCCTTTTCCAAAGAGCTGGTGTCCTTCTGAGAAGAGGACTACATGAAGACGGAGATGCCATCAAAGCTCTCTGTGAGCTCAGCATTCCCAGTGATTGTCAACAAGCCATGGAGGACAGGGGGAGAAGATCCCCTATGATTTCAAAAGGGTGCAAAGATCTACTCAACACTTGACTTTAGACTTCTGTCCCCCAGAACTTTGAGAAAGTACATTTTTAGTTTGGGGTATGTCTTAGTTAGGGTTTTATTGCTATAAAGAGACACCATGACCATGGCAACTCTTATAAAGGAAACATTTAATTGGGGCTGGTTTAAAGTTAATAGGGTTAGTCCATTGTCATCATGGCAGGTGGCATGCAAGCAGACATGGGCCTGGAGAAGGAGCTGAGAGTTCTACATCTTGATTCTTAGGCAACAGGAAGTGAACTGAGACACACTTCCTCCAACAGGGCCACACCTACTCCAGCAAGGCCACACTTCCTAATAGTACCACTCCCTATGAGCCAATGGGAGGCCAATTACATCCAAACTACCACAGGGTACTTTGTAATCTCAGCCCCTAGAACCTAATTCATCACCCAAAACAGGGATGCTACTTCCCTTTCTCATTAAGACTCTGCAATGGTTCACACCTAAGATTCCTCCTCCTACCTAGGGATGGGACTGCAAGGCTAACTTAGCCAGGAGACACTGAGCTGTCACATGACTCCTACGAACCCCTTCATCTGGCAGTCTCTTGAGAGGTATATGGCATGGGCATCAGTTAAGGGTCAGGGGTCTGTCTGGAGGTCCAGGCCATATATAGCTGAGACTCAGAGGGGTCTCCAAACTTGCAAGCACTGAACTAAGGCAGCCAAGCAAGGAAGGCCTGTCCATGACAAGAGTGTCCTGGCCGTGTGTAGTGCCTATTGATGATCTTAGCACATGAGTAGCAAAAGAACATGGACTATCCTTGACACCCATGACAAGAAGAGCAGTTCACAGATGGTCAAACGTGTGTCTGCACATTTAGGTGACACACCCCCTTTGGAATCTCCAGGAACTTGCCACCCAGTGTCAAGGAATAGAAACAGTGAGAACAGTGGAGCCCAGTGGCAGAGCGCTTTCCTAGAGTGCATGAGGTCCAGGTTTCCATCTCCAGTCCAAAGTCTGGGGCCATACTCCTGAAAGTGCCTGATCTCTGATCTTGGAGAGCAGCAGAACTGGGCCTGGTTAATATATAGTGAGAAACACCTCAAGGGCTGCAGGGCCCCAGGCCCCAAGGAACCTGGACAAGAGGTCCAACGGGTCCTGTAAAGCTGGCATCACTAGGCTCTCTCAGCTGCCGCCATCATAGCACCCCCTGACTGGCCAAGGAAAAGGAAGTCTTGATTGCCACAGGAAAGTCAGGATGATAGGTCACTTCCTTTGGCTCCTGTTTCTCTGCCCTCAAAGTAAATCCCTGGTCCAGAGGCCAGAACATTGTCCTTCTCTCCCTCCCTTCCCCTGCCTTTCTTCTCCTCCTTCCCTTCACTCTTTCCTTCTTCTCTTTCTCCATCCTTCCCTCCCATCATCTTCTCTTCCTCCCCTCCCTCCCCCAGGCCTCTCCTTCCTTCCTCCTTCCTTCCCTCCTCTTCCTCCAGCTATTCTCTGTGGTCCCTCCTTCGCCCGCTCTCTTCTTCCCTACCCTCTCCCGTCTCCTGCTGTCACCCTGGAGGCTGCCCTAGCCTGCATATTCAGACCCTTAGGATGCCATGTGAGCTGCAGCTCCCACCAGAGGGAAGCATTGCAGGTCCTGCTGTCACCTACTGATGAGAGAAACGGCACCTGGTAAATCAGGGCTCCTCTGCCAGGGCAGCTGGCGCTGCTCTTGTCTCTGTGCATTAATCACCTCCATGCCCTGGCGAGCACAGACTGCAGGGCCTCTTTGCAGCACAGGGAGTTTCTCTGTCTTTATAGCTCTGCCACCGCAGAACCCCAGTAGAGGAAAGCTAAAGAGCACAGGCTTCCCTGCCTCACGCCTCCGGCTGACCAGCTCTGACAGGTCGCGCTGTGCCGTTCCAGCTGCAGATGGCTGTCCATTTCTGTGTCCATCCAGCAAGCTGGAGTTTTATAGGGACTCACCCTGGGCCAGGAGAGGGGCTGGGAACGCTTCCAATTTTTTGTCCAGCGCAGCATCAGGAATGGGAAATAGGCTGATGGTCATGGAAGGTGCATTGTCAAGATGGACGTTCACAAGGGTGCTAAGAACCCTGACTGGACTGTGGCAAATGGAGGTTCAAGCACAGGGCCACACCTGCGGAAGGGGTCCCATCACACCCTAAGATTTAAATGGCAGTGTATGCCATAGCTGCTGGTATTGGACAGTGAGGGGTGCAGAGTCCCAGAGGACCACCATCCCCACTGAAGGATTACAAGGATAGGGAGGCATCTGCAAAATGGGGTACCAGAAGGTCTGACCCAAAAGAAACTATAGGACTCGTCCAGCAGCCCCACCTTAAAGGTGAATTCCCCAAGCCCGTGGGTGTAAAACGGCTGGCTGAATTATTTGAATAGTTTGGCTGTGAGGCTCAAATGCCCAACCTAGCTACAGTGTCTTAATCTAGTATCCCATGGAACCGAAAGTCAGAGGAACCTCACTACTGAGACCCAGGCTCTCCCCATATTTTAGCTCTGCTGCCTATGATGTGTTGGCCCTCCAGGGCTGCAGTGGGGCCGGGGGAGCACAAGCAACATGTCCCATGCGACACCTTCTGTGTTCCAGAAGGGAGAGCACCAGGCATCTTAGCGTCTCCTCACAAGTGTCTTCCGCCACATCGAAAACATCTCTCACCCTTCCCTTCCAGTGTGTTTGGCTAGGAGTAAGCAAGCCCTGTTTGTATATTCTGGGCCCGGCACTATTTTTAAATATCAACCCCCTCCTTCCCTGTGCAGTGTCCTCATTGAGCAGGGCATAGGGTGGGGGTGGGAGGGAGGTTCAGGCAGCCAAGGCTGAGTCCAAACGGAGCAGTGTGGCGGTTGGTTTTCTGGCTTCTATGTCCCAGGGCCTACAGACAATTGAGAAGTGTGTCAGGGTTGACTCGTGGGGCCCAAGGAAGGAGTCAACTAATGGCCCAGCCTTCCCCACATTCTTTCTGGGTCTGTCGAAGGTGGTGGCTGGCATGAAACATTGCACTCTGAGGCTGGCAGTTTGAAGAGATGTGTACATGCCACCAGGGACCTTGCCTTGCAGTGTTTATGAGCTCTTTACAAAGGCTAATTTATTTATGCCCGTAACTCAAGGTGAAGTCCATGGGAGACATTTTTGCCATTTCTAGTGTTCTCCCCCACCCAGAGAGGTATAGGGATGGGTCCAGCTGCACACAGAGCCCCCACAGGGCTTCCGTACCATTGGCAGGGACAGGATCTAGTGCCAGAAATCAAAATGCTAAGCCCTTTGTCACTTTTTAAAGCTAAATGTCAAGAAAGCAATTATGGGTGAGCCGGAGGCTTGCAGCATGGACTAAGCGGCCATCCAGGAGACTGCAGCTAGCTCCTAGTGGCTCAGGCCAGGCTGTGGGAAGACGGTGGTGTGGGAGGGAAAGGGCCGGCAGAGTCGTGCCAGCTCTTGACCTGGGTTGTGAGAGTTCCCAGATGTCTGTGGCAGAAGCAAGGCCAGACCCAGAGCCCCAGGCACCCAGGCGAGGACTTGTTCCCATTGTACCTGTTGTTTTCTTACCACCAAGACACTAATGAGCAATAGCTCTTCCCAAGAATCCTGGCTTTTAAGAGATTCGCATTTGCCAGACAACTGCAACTGTCAGATAATCAATTACTCATTTCCCGCTCCAAACACGAGTCAGGGGTATACACGCCAGCCAGGG